CCACACTCGACTTCCTGTCGATGTTGATTTATAGATCCAGAAGTCAGGCTGATTTGTCACCGGTTGTGGCAGGCTGGTTTTCTGGCTTCTCTGGCAATACAATTCCTTTATAATTGTAAGAATGCCTTCCAGAGCCATTTGTTTCTGCTCAGCTGCATGTGTGAGTAATCACAGCAAAGGTTCTGGTCTTGATACAGATTTTAAGACTAAACGTTCTGGTCTTTATAAGGACCTCAGTGCTGCTTAGATTCCCCAAGGAAAGACTCCTTTGTAGTGGAGACTCTCTGCCACTTTTCTGCCCCATGTTGACAAGGGTGTTAAATTGTAGCCCACTCGTCTGTCAAAAGAGGGTGATCCACTTAATCCTAGCCACAGGCTCAGCTCCTGGTTGTAGGGCCACAGTATTCCAAGCTATCCTTAGGTCCGCAAGGAAATGTTGACTCAAGTCTGTGTGGGCCAAGAACGATCGATCACTCTTTCAACCCAACTCTACATCTAAGTCTGCTTCCTTTCACTAAGGTTCCATGCGTCCACCTGAGGGTGAGAGGTCACACCCAGGACTTTAGAAAGGAGTTCTTCTGTGGTACCTTGCCCAGAAACACATCTCCCCTGGCTCTGCCCAGCACCTAAGCTGCATGAACTGGGGAAATAACTGACCTGGAATAAAGATTTTGCCACTTAATCTCTTGAGACTTTAAGGAAACAGCTTCACTTCTTTAGGAATAGTTTCTTCATCTTTAAAATAACAAGTTTGACTAGAGCCTCCATGTCCCTACAATTCTTTTATTCTACAGTTTTTATAAATGTATATGAGTATATACATATACATACATACACACGCATATGTATTATATGTGTGTGTCTATATATACATACACATATATATGTATATATATTTCTTAGCTGTGATGTCATTCTAGTGTCCTTCTTCTATGATTAGATATTCCTCCCTAAGGTACCAAACCTTAAATGTTAAGGGGCTGCCAAAACACTTTAATTGCCCCTGCTTATTTCTATAAGGCATTTTGAATAGGTTATGCAAATTTAGCCAGGCTTTTATGAGTTGTAGTACATTTTAACAGAGTTTTTCTGGTTAATTTTACCATAAAATCTCAGGGGAAATTCCATGTAGCAAAAATACCAAGGCATTGGTAATCATACATGGGTTCATTTTCAAATTCTGCCATTTAAGCTGTGTAGTCTTGGGCAAGTTACTAAAAATATATAGTTGCTCACATTAAGAATTCAAACATATTCTGCTGCATACTCCCTTCCCTCCCTGCTCCTTGATGATCTTTCAAGCAGAGTTCATAACATTTAGATTACTTTTTTGCTAAAACAACAACTTAATTTCATTAATTAGGACTCACTTTTTTAGACAGCAAAAAGTCTTGTTAAATCTAAATTAAAATTTCAATTTCCAAGTGGCCTGAGATGTGGCTTGGTGATCTGCATTGGATAAGGTATCATGGTCTTTTCTTTCCCTCTTCATCTACTGTCCTTCTAGGGTCAGGGAAGAGGAAGAGGAGCACAGAGAAATACAAATAAAAGTATATATTTTAACCTAACTGGTCCTGATATTGTAGTTCCTTCAGAGTGAACACTAGTGCTGACTGGCTGGCTATCATGGGCATTCAGACACTGGCTCTTTCATGGGGCAGAGATGTAGATTGTTCATGGGACTCCACAGCCACAGTTCACATAATTAGTGAACTTTCCAGCCCACTCCTGTCACCTTCTCTTTGACCTTGGCCATATACCTCCAGTCTCCCAATGTTGACAGTCCTCCCCCAGGGCTGAGTATATCAAGATGATCAAAACCTATCCAGCTTTCAAGGCATCCACCGGACCCACAGGAAGCTCACGGGTCCTCACCACATGAAACTGTGTCTTTCCTCACCCTACCAATGAGGGCTGCTCCTTAGGAATCCACCAGGGAAACGATCCAGTAATTGCACCACTGGGTATTTACCCAAAAAATACAAAAACACTAATTCAAAGGGACACATGCACCTCTATGTTTATAGCAGTGTTATTTACAATAGCCAAACTATGGAAGCAACTGAAGTGTCTATCAATAGATGAATGGATAAAGAAGAGGTGATATGTATACATGTGTGTGTATATATACGTATACACACACACACACACACACACACACAATATTATTTAGCCATGAAAAGGAATGAAACCTTGCCATTTTCAATGACACAGATGAGGCTAGAGAGTATTATGCTAAGCGAAAAAAAGCCAGAGAAATACAAATAATATATGGTTTCACTCATATGTGGAATTTAAGAAACAAAACAAAAGAGCAAAGGAAAAAGAGAGAGAGAGAGACACAAACCAAGAAACATACTCTTAACTATAGAGAACCACCAATGATTACCAGAGAGGAGTGGAGTGGGAGATGGGTGAAATAGGTGAAGGCGATTAAGGAGTGCACTTGTCGTGATGAGAACTGGGTAATGTATGGAATTGTTGAATCTCTATATTGTCCACCTGAAACTAACATTAACACTGTAACACATTAACTTCCAGTTAACTACACTGGAATTAAAAAAAAAAGAATCCACTGGGGAAGAAGCAAGCAGGAATCTCTCTGTTCACCAGGTTGTCAAACTTCCCAGAATCTTCTCTTCACACTCTGATCCGGGGCCAATGCCAGAACAACCTACAGATGCCCCAGCATAGCAAGCCTCCAGGTGAGGTAAAGGTCCCAGTCTCCTTTCAGGGAGCTCACACTGTTTAAAGCCAATTACTTGTTTTAGGGAAATATCACAGCTAGATTGAAATCACCCACCAGATTGAAAACATACTAATTCTTAAAAAAAAGAAGTAGGAGGAGGAAGAGGAGGAGGAGAAGAAGAAGAAGAAGAAAGAATAGAAAAGAAAAGAAAAAAGAAAACATACTAATCCTGTGAATTCTCCACTTCAAAGTGTTCTTGAATTTCTAGTCTTTTCTCTGCGTAAGTGGTGATAGGGGGTGATAGAATCAGGACCACTGAGCTATATGTCAGTAAGTCCTATAAAAATGTATCTAGGAGCTCCTCTGTAAAATATCAGGGTACTTTTCAGCTAGTATTCCCAACTTTAGCCAAAACCTGAGATAATAAAGTCTCATTCAACATTCCTGTTACCAAAAGGAATGATGATGATGATGATGGTGGTGGTGGTGATAATCATATTAAGCTAACATTTAGAACTATGCACCGGGCATTATTCTAAGCACTTTTAAGTTTATTAATATTCAACTCTCTAACAACCACATAAGGTTCTGTCTCCATGTACAGATGCAGTAACTGGGGCACAGGAAACTTGAAGAACTTGCCTGAGTGAGTTAGCACCACTAGTAAGCGGCAGATCTGGGATTCAAAGGCAGGCAGCCTAGCCGTACAGTTTATACCCTTAACCACGACATTTTCCTGATTCTCCCTGTTAAGAGATTTGGACTTTATCCTGAGGGTGATGGGAAAGAACTAGATTTTTTCTCCCTTCACCTATAAAATGAAGATAAAGAAACCTACCCTCTACAGTGATTTGGAAGATGAGATAATATAGATGAAGACTCTAGAACCAGCCCTGAGGGGTAGTGGGAACTTGATAATAAATGATAATAAGTATCATTAGTTTTCCCTTTCTATATGAGATAGTACCAAGTCAGGACAGAACAATCCAAGAACATCCAGAACCGTCATTCCTATTAGAAGTAAGGGAGCACTACTCCCCACCCCCAAATCCCCAAATCAGCTAGCAGAGATATTGAGCCCCACACATGATTCCCCTCTATAAACACCAAAGGAGGAAAAAGTACAAAATCAAAATACATCCAGCCATGACCATATGCAATAGTTTCTTTCCTGTTTGGTTTATTCCTTTGAAGACAGAGCCAAAGAATCAGAGACAAGTTTGAGAAACTGAGACTGCGTCTAAGCTCTCTGATCCTCTTGATGAAGTGCCCAGCCGAATCTGGATGGGGCAACGACTGAAAAAAGACCCCAAGTTTTATCTTCTCTGGCAGGCAAAGTGTCAAAATTAGTCCCAGACAAAGCACTACGTGAAAACACCAGCATGACGTAAATCCCCTCCAGGGATTGAGTTGACCATGAGCATTAGAGAATTGCAGTTTGAGGCCAGTGATACCTGTATAAACCAATGGGTTTGGGTTCCTGTAAAGCCAGGGTATTAGGGAGAGACTTGATTACCTGTGCCTTAGTCTGAATTAAAAGGCAAGGCAATTACACAAAAGCTCTCATTTAACTTTTAAGTAGGATTAGGCCCACACTAACTTTATGACACTAGGTTGCTAAAAACAAATGGCAGTTTCTCACATGCCCTAGGAAAGAATTGGGCTTATGTAATTTTTCCAAGTTATGGGGCATTGTGCCCAAGACAAGCAGATAGAAAGTGCCTAGAACCAAATGTACCCTGTCTTAAGGCTCAAACCAAGTGACAAGAGAACAGTAGTTTCATTTTTATTTTTCCACTCACACAGAAAGGCAGCGTGGTGTCAGGGGAAACATCAGGTTTTAGTCCTGCCTCTCCTACATGAGCCCCGTGTCTTCGGAAAGAAAGAAAATCACGAACTCCTTTTTGTCTCCCTTTCCTCATCTGTCCATGGGATGCTGGGCTCTAAAACTCCATGAGAGTTCCTCAGTCTTAGAAATGTGATTTTTATGACTCCAATACAGTTGGGATTCATGACAAAGGAACAATGTAAAGGGTAGGGCTAAGGAGATGGAGAGACAACTGGAAAAGGAAGCATCTTCAAACTTCTGATAAAGGCTTCCTTTCCCTTTGTAACTTGATAGACCTCGGGAAGCTCTCCGGCTCCCACGGGGAATGGATGGAGGGTGTGTGCACGGAAAGTTACCCAGGCCACTTAAATGTTTTCCCAGAACTCATGGAGCGTCCACGCAGCCCTGCTTGGGGGATGCTGCGGTCTCTCTCACAAATACGTATAACTTTCTTAGCACATACACAAATATTACATTCTTGATTTCTCTAGCATCCAGAAAAATTCAAGACCTGAAGATGGATTCAAAATCAAACCCAGATTAAGCTAATATTTGGGAAGCAAGTAGCTCTACCTGGGCTGATACTGCTTCTGGTGGGCACTCAAACAGCTTTTGGGGTGCCAGAGACAGCTCACCAGGAGTGCATTAAAAAATAAATTAAGGCACTGGCTTTGCACAGAGTCCGTAAACCACAATCTCTCTCTGTGAGGAAATAGACTTCCTGTCTGCTATTTTTTTATGTGCCCAATTAAGTGCAGATTTTTGGCTGCGTGAGCAACATAACTGCAGCATTTTTTCCAGAAAAACCAAGAAATGAGCTAAAAAGCTAAACAAGAAAAAGTCTTATAAGAAGATGGTCTGATAAGTGCTGGGAGATCATGTTTTTTTCTCATTTTATACCTGATATCTTCTAACCTGGATCAAACCAATCTCGGGCAGAGCGACTTCAGATCACATTTCTAATGTGCTGGCACCTCCCCATCCTGGAGGGATTTTCACTGAGTAAGGTGAGTACATTTCAAGGCCTTATATGGAATAAAATAGCAGGGTATTGAGTCAGGATGGGTGGTTCAACGAGTTGGGTGTCTGAGAATTAAAAATCAAAGTTAACCAAGATTCTTTGATGAAAACTAGGGGCTAGATGACTTGGTTCAAAAGAAATAAAAACCTGCCTGAAACCTAATTACCAAAATAAAAGTGAACGCGAATATGCGAGGTCTGAAAGGGTTCATAGATGTTAATTTTAGTGCTGAGTTACACACACCTGGGCACGTCGTGGCTTGGGCCAAAGGCGAGAATGCTAGAATCCTGTGAGAAAGGCTGTGTACATCAGCACCAGGGAAGGAACCGAGCTTCACTGATATTCTCTCTGCCACCTCAGAGGGACCCGAAAAGCTTTAAGTAAGCTTACGTACACTCCTCAAATCTGGACAGAAGTTCAAGTGATCTCAACGAGGTCAAGCTTTTTTCTATAAGTAGTCACTGAGGAAAGGGCCTCTGTGCTAGGGTTGAAATCGGCACCAGTTTTGAAGACATAAACAGCTTGGCAGCACCTAGTGTGAGCGTTTCTCTGTTTGCTTTGTAGAAGTAAAGGGCAACAGCAATGTTTTTAGGGAGAAGCCCAAACCAGCTGGAAATATCTTTGCTCTTGGGTGAGGGCTCCTGCATCCTCCCCCAAGCACCTCCTCCAGGTAAATGGATTTGATATTTTCTGAGCTTTTGGCTTCTCTGCTCTGGGTTACCACATTTCTGAATTTGTCTTAGTATCAAGATACAGGATACGATAAAGGTTTAATTTTGCTTAGTCTTTCTGCTCTGGGTGAAAAGTAGGTAAGAGTTTCGTCCATACCTCTCTGGATCTACTCTGCAGCCTAGTTGTAACTCCACCAAATACCCCCAAATCTTCCTGTTAGCTTGGGCAAACTGCTTAATCTCCTACCTTTCATTTTCTTCATCCATTAAGTGTGTTTGGAAATGTATGTTGTACTTACTCTACACTGATGTGATGATGGCAAAGCAGACAACACAGCCAAAAATGCTCCGAGAGCCTCCAGAAAAGAGTATTATGAGCCTTCACATGTATAACATTCAGCCTCACAGTAAATCCAAACCACAATTGTTGTTTTCAAAATAAAGATTATAAATAGGGAAGCAAAATAAAAACATGTGCTTCAGTGTGCACTGGTATGTGAATTCAACGCATTCGTAGGTTCATTTGTTGACTTAGAAGAAGGGGAGGGGGGAGGAAGGCTGTCTACGAGCTGTGGTGTCAATAGATAGGTTTGTAATTAATGGGCCGTGGCAGTTCTGATAATGTTACTGCATGTTTATATATCAATGCACTTTGCTCTACTTCTGGTCATGTAAAGGTCCAGGATCAGCCCTGGTCTGAGTCCTGGTTTGAGATGTAAAGTTCTCGAACGTGAAATAAGCTTGTTAAACTTCGAATCACACCCTCTCAGGAGTCTGCATGCATTGTGAACCACTACAGAGCTGTTCAAAAAGTGCCCTCCTAATGAGGCCAATTCTGACTAATGCATATTCCAAGAATAATACTTGACCAAAATTGAATGCAATTCTCTTGTACTTATTATAATTTTCTGTGACAGAGAGCAGAGGCTAAATTCAGTGAAAGTATTGTTTTTCTTCTAAACTTGGGTCTGCCAAAATTTGTTTTTATTTCTACCCACCCCACCCCCCAACTCCTACCCTCCAGTCATCCCTTTTGGAATGACGTAGTGATCCCAGCCAACTGGGAAACTTGCTGGCATCTGTGGAGGGCCCGTTTTCACCACTTTCCTTCACCCCTTCAATAGTTTTTTGGTATGGAATGGAAATATTCCCAAATGGAAGACTCATTAACAGCAGCAATGTCAAGAGCAGCCTTGAAATGAAGCATCTGATATCCCATATGTATAGTGTACTTATCATGCAGACAATGTAAAAGCCATTTGAGGTCTGTAACTTCCTTTTCTACACAGAAGGAAATGTGGCAGCGAATCAAATTGATACAGGAATTTTAAATATGTGTGGTCGCACAAAGTTAGAGAAGATTATAAATTCAGCATTAGAAACCAAAAGAAAAAAAATAAGCCACAGGTAGCATTCTCATATTATATTTGTTTGAGCTGTCAGGACAAAATACTAGAGAGAAATATTTTTATGACATGGAAACCAAGATCTGCCTTCCAAAATTATTTTCCACTAACTTAAAGCTATGTATCATTGTGCAAACCTAAAGACTCCGACCCTTACAGAATTAAATATTTATCTTACAACTGGCGAAAGGATACCTATCTCAAATGTGCATGCATGCGTGGTAGTGGTGGGGTCTAGTCCCTGTGATAATGGTCTGGGAGGCAAGACTCACCTTCTAATCTCCAGGATCACGTTGTTTTGCCACAAATTTAGGATTGATTCAGGACAGATGCCAAAATCCCTCATTTCCTCAGGTACAGAGGGAGAAAGGAACCTGTAACAAGGCAGGCTACTCTCGATAACTTTAGTAAGAGTGTTTTACCTTTCCCTTTTTTTATTCTAAGACGATAGTGAAGATGCCAGCTCTCTTTTTTGAATTAAAGGGGATGTGAGGTTCTAGGGAAGGGTGTGCTTTCAGTGGGTTTACTTTGGTTTACCTTGAGAACAAGGCCTACATTCTAGACTCCAAATACACAGTACACCTCACTCTGTGTGTGTGCTGTGTTTGCTTGTTTGTTTTTAAAGACATGAGAATGGATAATAGAGTTCAATGGAACCTGTGATATGGGGATTCAATTCAGAGCTCCCTGCCTGCTTTCCCCATGATCCTTAATCATGTCTCTAAAAGGTCTCCTGAAGCAAATCTTTAAATTTTAAAAACATTCCTGTGAAGTTGTAAAGACATTGCCATATACTCAACCTATTATTACTATTGGACTTCTCTTCCCAGACATGGAGAATAAAGCAGGTGTCTACTCTTTCCTCTTCTGCTTTATCTTCCCTTTACAGGGCTTACTGATGCAAGTACCAGAGTACAAATGTCTGCTGACACTGTCCCCCACCCCTGCATGTGCCCACAGGGGAAGCATTAAAGACTAGTAAAAATGTGCCATGTGCTTGCCATGGCCGCTGACCCACACAACTTGTCCTGATGCCTTGGGAAGGCTCTCTGGTCTACTCAGGATTTAGGGAACATGCAGTACCACAGGCCATTCAGCGCTGTGAGACCCAGGACACCAGGGCAGAATATTTAGAGATTATTCAAACATGGAGACTATTGTTGGCAGTAGTGTTAGGGATGGTACCTGTGGTCCACAAATATTTATCAACAAGGGGAGACTGATGACAGCTCACCTTTACTCAGGGCCTTATACCTTACACGGTACTTTCTCATTATTTATTTAATCTTCACAATTTATCTGGGATGTATTATTTTCTGTATTATTCAAATAAGAAAACCAGGCACTGAGTAATTAATTCATTCCACAAAAATGTATTGTGAACTTACTATTTGTCAGATGCTGTTCTAGGCACTGGAGATAAGACAGTAAGCAGAACAGACAAAATTCCTGCAGTGAAGGAATTTGCATTCTAGTTGGTGGGGAGAAAAGAGATAGACAATAAACAAATAAATAGGTGAAATATAAAGCATGTCAGATGGAGACAAATGCTGTGGAGAAAAAAAATATGATTGAGAACAATAATTAGAATGTACCAGTAGGCAAGAGGGCAGGGTTTCTATTTTCCATAGGGCAGTCAGAAAATGCCTTGTTGAGAAGGTGATATTTGAGCAGATAGCTGCAAGAGGTAAAAGAGCTGGTCAGATGGGTGGGTATCTGGTGCAGGGGCATTACTGGCAGAGGAAGGAACAAGTGCAAAGGCCCTGAGGCAGGAGCATACTTAGCTTGATTGAGGAAATGCCAAGAGGCATTCATGGCTTGTGTGGAATGAACAAGCCTGGGAGTAGTGGAACATGCAGTAAAAAATGTTAACAAAGAATCCCATCAGTGTGGAGACTTGGCTTTTATTTTGAATGAGAGGACAAGCCCAGGTGTTATTCACAATGTTTAACAGCAGATACAACACAGACAGCAACCCATCAGCACGGATATCCGGCCAGAGCATGGAAGCAGCATCCCAGAGGCCCCCCTGAAGTGCCAAGCATTACCCCTGAGTTGGTGCATTGTTGGGGAGATCCCCTTGTGAATTGAAGGGGAATATCAGGGAAAGGGGACTTTGGGGAAAGGCTATCTACCAATAGAGATGGAAGGATTTCGATATTTTAACAACTGGCACCTAGTTCCAGTATGAGCCAGGTGGAGATCAGCCTTAACAAGAAATCATGGCTATGTCTGAGTGGAGAAGTGACATCATCAGACTCACTTTTTTAAGGATTCTCTCTCTCTTGACTAGACCCTAAACAAGCAAGGACAGAATAGGGAGACCAGTTAGGTGGCCATTGCAGTAATTAGGTGAGAGGTGATGGTGTCTTGGACAATGGTGGCTGTGGGGGAAGTGGTCCAAGGTATCAGACTGGGAATATATTTTGAAGGCAGAGTCAAGAGGACTTGCTGATGTACTGGATCTGAGGTGACAGAGAAAGTGTTAAGCATGACAGAAGGAGCTAGAAGATGCGGGTTGCCATTGACTGGGATAAGAACTGGAGGTAGAGCAGGATGAGGAAAAAGATCAACAACTTGATTGTAGACACAGGAAGTTTGAGATGAGTTTATTGAGCACTCACTGAGCACCAGCACGACAGCTCTGGGAGCTAAGTACTATGTTATTATCTTCATTTTTTAGCTGGGACAGCTGTGGCTCAGAGAGTTGAGGTGACCTACCCCTAGTCACACAGCAAGTAAACAGCACATCAAGGGCTCAAACCTGGTTTTTCAATTCCGAGTTGTATGCTCTTCTTAGGATATCACCATGGCTGAGAGTCAAACGGTGCTACCAAAGTAGATCACTGATGAGAATCTACTTTTCTGTGACCCACTGTAAGGCAAAAAGTTCAATAAAAACTTTCCAA